GCTCCGCCGCGGCCCTAAGCCGCTTTGCGGGGTTAAGGCCGCTTCCAGGGGTCCGAATTCCTGTAGGGGACTGTCCAGAAGATCCCGGAGCAGCGGGCGCCCGGCTGAGCGCGTAGGAACCGCCTGGTCCCTCCTCGTGGCCTCAGGGAAGGGTCGGCGGCGGGGACGCGGATGGAGACGGAGGGCGGAGACCCCGATGCGGGACGGGGCTGGAGGGTGGAGACTGAGGACGCAGGACTGCGCGGGGGCGGGCGGGGCCGGCCGCCCCGGGCCGAGTGCTGGCCGAGCAGACACCGTCCAGACTGTTTTCTGAGGGCGCCTCTAGAAGGGGAGGGACGGAGACGCCGCCGGCCCGCTACGTGCACACCGCGGCTGGTGGACCGTGGCGGGGCTCACCGGCCGTCGCCCCGTGTAGTTCAGAGGAGGTGACTCAGGCCCAGCTGCAGCTGCAGTGAGAACATCCACGAAGAAGTCCTTTGGTGCCCCGTGGCTGTCCTCACACAGGTTTTAGGTTTGAAAAAGTAAGAAGATTGGCGATTGTGCTCGTTTTAATCGTGTCAGTGTGATTCTGGATTCAGCTCGACCAAGAGAGGAGCTTTGGGAGACTGAGGACGGAGCAGAGCAGCAGACACCCTGCACCGTCCCCGCTTCTGAGTGGGCTCCCTCCCAGCCGCCAGCCCGCCGACCAGCAGCACCCCGAGGCTGCAGGTCCAGACTTCCCCGCCCACCCCCTTGGCAGTCCCCCAGGCCACTGCTTCAGGAGGCGGGGCGGCTGCTGTCATCTTCCTCCAGCCCCATCAGGCCCCTGGCTGCTCTGGCTTCTCAGCTGTGTGATGTGTACCCAGATGATTAAATTACTGAGTCCTTTCTTTCATAATATTCATGGTGGTTCTCCTGCTGATTGACCCACTGTGATCGGTGACTTATTCATGCTTCTTAGAACTCCATTGACTTTAAAGAAAGCAAGCACTTTTAGTACTTTGTGTCTCTGCCACGCAAGGGTATATGCACCTTTTTTAAAAAAAGGCTGTCTTCACAACACTTATTCTACATACTCTTCTGCAGGATTTTCCACGGGAATGTCCTGTCTGGTTTTCTAGCATGGCATATAACTTAACCATTTTTTGTCTCCTGTGTTCCTGGGTGCAGCCTCAGGGCATGGTCGTGGCAAGAAGGATCTGTTGAGTTGAATAAAATTAAACAGTGCAAACAAACCTCACAATTATGCGTATTTTAGGGTGGAGGTGTCACAAAAACTCAGTCCAACTAGGTCTTTTTAAATACCATGGTGATTTATTGAAAACAACATGGTACTTTTAGACAGTTTCAAAGAGTGATGGATTTGTACAAATCCTCATGAGGTTTCCTCCTCTGGTCCAAGTAGCTGCCCTCTCCTCTGTGATCAAACCATACCCTGACCCCCCAAAGCCAGTCAGGTGTCAGAGGGTGTGGCTCCCATGCCTACTAAAGGAAAACGCCACTGTTCACTTACAGGAAGTGTGGGTGAGGACAAGCATTATCATCATGACACTCAGGTAACAGCCTGTCGGTTGCTGGTTATTTTCTGAACTGTATCTATGTCTGTGTCACTGATATCTTTCTAGACATCACTTTCTTGTGTGTTCTTCAATTATTTTCAGCAATGTGGTGCACAGCTTGTACCAGGATTACTTTCAAGTGGCAAAAACCCAAAATATGAGTTGTCAACATGTTGGAAGTCTCCTCGGTATGGTTGGTGGGGCCTCCAGGGAACCAGGAGTCTTCCTCCTCCTGGTCGTCACTTGTTCCCTATCTGCGATTCAAGTGTGTTTCTGTTTGCTAAAGCTGGCAACCCTCAGCTCTGGTCAGTCAGTTCTCATGTCCCAAGGGTTCTGAGTAGCAGGTGTGTGATACCAAAAGGCTTCACACACAGGAGAGGCCAGCAAGTTCAGAATAAAACTAGTATCTTCTAAATCTTTGGGAACCAAAGTCCTGAAGTATAAAAATGATCTCCTGTTTCACCATAGAGCGATATTAGTACGTGCTTCCCCAGCTGCACTGCTAGGCTGGCACCGCCCCGTGTGCCTGGGACTGAGGGTTCCTGGGATGTGGGACTTCCAGTGCTGAAACTGGGACCCAGGGCACCAAGAACAGGATAAAGAGGGCCTGTCTCCTCCTGAATCGTGAATTTGACCCAAGATCCTGGGAGTTAGGTTCATGTAACAACATTTTAAAAACCTGAATACCAACAGGTCTGTTACTCCAAATGCACAATTTGCATACACTTCTAAGAAAAAAGTCTACCTTAAGGACATTCCCTGCTCCTCTTCTATCGGGTGTTGTGGGTGGACGTTCAGGCAGCTTTGAATGTTCCCAAGTAAATGCAGAGCTGCTCTCCAAACTCAAGGCACCTGACAGGGCCCTCTCCTCGCAAGGGCAGGGGCTGCTCTGCTGGGTACACTCACCCCTCCCTCCGTCCCTGCACTGTCACCTGCCTGCTGCTGCTGGAAATGGATCAAGTGCTCCATGTCCCCACTGCCCTTGACCTTCCAGCTTGCGCTCACCTTGCCTGATGCACTAACTAAAACAGCTGTCATTTTAACCCAGGTTTTGTCACAGTGCAGGATGTGGAAAGTTCTCAAATTAGTGTCAACTCACCTCCATTTCAGAACAGGTGAGGGAGTAGGTTGTCAACTGCACAAAGGAAAATGGTCTTAAGATTCAAACACCAGAAATGTTAAGTCCAGAGTAACATCGACTCTCCACACAGGACGCACATAAGAGGAAAGGGGAGAGCCTGTGAGGGTGGGAGGGTGGCCTGGGCAGAAAACACCGCCCACCGGGAAGGTCTGCAGGTGTGCAGGGGCCTCACCGGATGGTCACCACAAACACTGACTGCGACATGATGCCCAACCTCCAGATGCAGCATTTAATCCAAGCCCAGAGACAGAATACCAAACTATATTTACTGTTTACAGTAGTAAAGGACAACAAAGAATGTACAAGCTGGTGCATAAACACAACAGAGCCAGCAGACATCCCACGGGTGCCCCGACAGCAGAATACAAAGGAGACACAAACATCTTCAGCAAGGTCTCAGGCAAGCAAGAGACGACGGTGGCATCGAGCTCTCCAGGGGGCAGGACAGGCAGAGAAGGGCCCTCGGGCAGCAGTGTGTCCACACAGAAGGACAACAGGACAACTACCAAAGTTTCATCGGGACAGACCCCAAAACGCTTCACAGAACTGAAATCACACACTTATGTGGAAGCTCCACACCAACCTGGAGAGCAGGGCAGAGTCTGTGAGGACACAGGTCATCTCTCACCAGCTTCGCCTGTAACCACACTTTGAAATTGCTCCTTTACACAAAAATGTAACTGCATATCAGCAATGCTTAATCTGACTTTTTTATAAACAGACCGTCGTCATTCATCAGAAGCAAATGCTAGAAGGAATCTGAGGCCCTGATGCTACTTCCAGGTGAGACATGTACGAACTTCTTTCTTCTACAGTAAGAAAAGGGGAAAAGCCAATTTTCGCTGGACCAGGTTTTTCCAGTGCAGCGTCACTGGGCCAGGCCGTGGGTGGTGACAAGTCCTGGACCCCAGACCCCACCTGGGGAACATGTTACTGAAGAACTTCTTACCTTTTATTTTAGGAAACATTCCAGGATTTTCCCTTCAACTTCACTATACTCTGACAAAGCTTAAATCCGCAATGTTTAGCATTGACAAAACCTGTGCCCACAAGAAATGGAAGTGGGAGTTCATCTCCCATCCCAATTGTGCCCTGCAGACTCGCCCCACAGAAGCATCCCCACTGTGGTGACAGGAGTTCTCTACATGATTGGAATAAGCTGGTGGGGGCAACTGGGGTGCGAGCCCCATCTAGATGAAAAGCGGACATTCAGCCACAAGTTTGAGGGAAATGCTACAGGAAAGAAGAAAAAACAAACGGAAGTAAAATCAAAACCAAAAACCCTCCCAATGCCTTTCACCCCAGCAGAGGGATGAACTGGGACAGGCGAGTGAGGCCAGGACGTGTCCTCGCCTTTCTGAGCTGCGTCCCTCCGGATGTCAGAGAGGAAAGTCATTTTGGTGAATGTCCTCAAGTGTCCACAGCCTCCTTGGCGATTGGCATGGTCACGCGTTCACTATCCAATGGCAAAGATGAGCTCAGTGACACAAGGGGACGGTCCCTCTACAGGCCGAACTTGGAGAGGCAGCCGGTCCCCCTGGAGCCCCCCGTCTGCTGCTGGAACACGTCGATGGTGTCTTCGTCCTCCATCTCCAACTGGCGGGCACAGGGGGAGGCCATTAGTTACATCACAGGAGCGGAAACGCTCAGCCGAACACGCGAGGTCACTGGACGGCCTCCCTCCCGCCGGGGACACAGCTGGGCGGCACCCAAGCTCTGACCGGCCCTCGGGTAGACACGCCGGGGAGAGGCTCAGCAGTGGATTTCCAGTGAGCCCTACTTATGCACCAGGCTCCCCCAGCCAAACTCACAAAAACGGTCAAAGTCAAGGACTTGACGTGATAGAAAAACTAAGTCTCATTAAAAATAAACTAAAATTTTACCAAAACTTACGCAAAATTAGACCCTGCTGGGAGTGTGCGATGAGCAGCACTCAGTCCTGGGGACCGGCAGGGGCCACGCACTTTCTAACAGCGTGGCGGGTCGGGCCTGAGATGGCCGAGCCCACCCCATCCCCAAAGAAGGGGCCCCTCCTGCCTCCGCTCAGAAGACCAGGCAGGGGTGGAGCAGGTTTCCCGCCCACCTCTTTCCGACACGGTGGACCTCTGCCCAGTGTCTGAACAAAAGGAAGCTTCTGCAGTCACACAGACTCACTAGGGCTGGGAGCAGTAACGTGTCCCGGAAACTTACTCAGAAGCAAAGAGAAGGACCGTCTGCGGGCTGGGGGCCTGCTGCAGACACCACGCTCACGGTCACAGGCCACAGCTGAGTGAGGGGCTGGAGGCGGAGCCCGGCCCCGAGGCCCTGAGCGCTGAGCTCGTGCCTTCCCCCATCCCCCCACCCCCCGAGAGCAAGGCCATCGGGGACGCCCACCGCTGACCGCCCTAACAGGAGCAGAAAAAAAGCCTCCGCGTGGCTGCGCTTTCGCACCACACAGTCCGATCCTCCCAGCTCTGTAGGGGGGAAGACGGGCATCGTCCCTGCTTCACCGGTGCCAGATGCCCGCGGCCAAGGGGCAGGAGCGGTCCGACCCTCAGTCTCCACCCGCGGCCTCGCCAGGCACTCTCACCGGGCGGAGCTGTGCGAGCCGGCAGGTGCTCCAGGGCTAGCCGCCGGCCCACGACGAACCGTGCCCTCCCCACCCCTCTCCTGCACAGAGGCTGGGGGGCGCGACACTGAGCCAGGAATTCAGCCACAAGCTGCCTGATGCCACAAACCCAGCGCCCAGACCACAGCGGGAGGGCGG